TGATGATAGCGAGAGCAACGTTCTGAAAGGCATTCAGAACTGGAGTTGCTAACAGATCTGAGGGAGACATCATGAATCATGTTTTGGTGCTTGAAATGTTTCAACAGTTTTCAAACACTCAAACTTATTTAAACAAACAAACCATGTCTTGATGTAAAGACTTTTTGTGAGGACATGTGTTTTTTGATCGCTTTTGTGAAAGTTAGCAGAAAGATGCTGACTGGCGACTCCGCATCATTTTTGTGTCAAGGCGTGACACACCAACAAGAACCATAGCGACATGAGCAAACATCTTCTTGTTTCTGTGCTTGTGTGTTTGGTAAAAGTGGCTGAGCTCTGGGAGTGGTTGACTTGGTTGCGTGGACGGTCTTAGTGAGTTAAGGACGACGTCCTGGACGCTGACCCAAGTAGGTTTCGAAGGTTGAGGTGACCTTCCGCAGGATGCCTTGAAGACTCGCTCATACCCGTAGGTTGGCCATTGCACGATGAAGCAGGTGAGCAAAGATGTATCCACCGCACCACAACCCTGCGCGAACTCGATGAACTTCAAAGCTTACGACATGGAAATGTAGCACTTGTGCTTGCGGGGTGCCTCTGAAGAGTCTGTAATTGGCATGTCATTCCTTAGAGCTGGATTTGCCATTTCAGTAATGTGTGCTTTTTTTTCCGTCCAACGCCTTCATGGCTTTCGCCAGGTCGTTACACACGTTCAATCGCAGCAAAAAGATAAATTGCAAATTATCATGCAAGGCCGTCTGAACGTCGACAGCCTCATACCAAGCATCTCCGGTTGTTTTGACTGGTGAGCTTGGGAGAGGCATCTCTCGTTCTGGAGCAGCGCACAAGCTATCAATCAACCAATGCGTGCGTTGTGCAATCAATTGTATTCAATGCGATGTCCACCCCCCTTAGGGGGGTTCTGGCTTTTTCCTTTCACGGCTTCGAGGTTACGGTTGACAGATATGGTAACGACTCTGTCCATGGAGGTCTGACGAGCTGATCTGAGAGAACGCTGTCTGACAAGCTAATCTGAGAGAATGCTGAGAGAGGCTTAATTGTAGCCTTGCCTTTTTTGTATAGCTTGGCACATGCCTGAAGGTAATATACCTGCTCTTGCCTCTATGTTTGCTGAAAGCCGTGATATTAACTCATTTGGCAAGCTTTTACGAATGATGCAGTGGATAAACCACTGCGTCTTATGGCAAATCGATCACGTGGTGGTCCCGTTTTGTGTTTTGTTTTGGTTTTTGCTGTTTGCTTTCTTTCTCCACTGGCGAAACGCAAGTCTGGCTGGGAGATTTGCGGGTTGTCGTGGTTTGTTGGTTTTTGTGGTTGTGTGTTGGTTTTATCGATTTGCCTGCTCCAATGGTTATGTCCTTGTACAAACTTCTTTTTCTGCTTACGCTCATGTAAGGACCGAGCCTTTAGCGCGACATCGGCCACACTCAAGGAAAAAAAATTGATTCAAAGCGATTGAGTGGACACTAGTTGCGAGCGCACTCGCATTGGTGCGGGCTTGCGAGCGTTCAATTCTTTTGACAGGGGCCAGTTCTATTATCGAAATTTTCAGCAGAGGTTCTGGACGACAACTTGTGTCAGCTGTGTTGAGGTCCTCTGTAGGGTGGGGTTGCACACTCGCTAGCATAAGCTGTAACTGTCGGCTTACAACTGCACCACGGATGCGTAGACTGTTTAGACAACAGCAAACCGTGCGTATGGCTCTGCAATCTTGCTCATTGATTACGCCTGCAAGAAGTTCCGTTTCCTGCAATGAGGCATAAGTTGCTTCCAGTGTCCGCTGGGTGTCACCAGTACTTTCGTGGCCATCAACATTTGACAGCCTTGCACGTGTGTCTCAATTCATCTTTTGCTATGTTCGAACGTGTGTAACGACCTGGCGGAAGCCATGAAGGCGTTGGACGGAAAAAAAGAGTCCGCTGGGTGTGCGACATTTTTCGGTCCAAATATAGACCCCAAAATGAGGTCCAGAATTGAATCACATTTTCATTCCTTCTGGTCTTTGCTTGTGCTCCGTTTTGGGGGTCCAGAGTTCTTGGTCTTGTTGTGTTTTTTTTTCCTCTGGTATGGCCGATCACGCTGCTCGGTCCTTATGAGAAGAAGCTGTTAGTAAGAAAACTGTTTCATGGACGCCGGTGGTCACATGCAGCTTGGCAAATCAATACAACCAAAACACAAACCAAAAACACAAGGCAAGAATTGGTCTTGTTGTAGGTGAGGGTTTTTGATTGTCGGTAGTTTCGACGATGTCAAAGTTCTACTGTAGCTGTGGCACCCGACGCTGTTGTGCTCAATCTGCATACTGATGCGCTTGAAGTGATTTGCAACAGTGAATACCAATGTAGGAGACCTGGGACTGGTATCGGTAGCCCCCACCAGCTGTCGCACTCACAGAGCCCACCCCGACAGCATATCCGTCATGGAGAAAGCTGCGCTGCACCGCATGGCCACATCAACTGCCCAACTCACATTGTGCTAGGTTGCAAGTGAAGAAATCGAAACTGCCACCAAACTTCTTGAAAAAAGCAGGCCAGAAACTCCGTGGCATTTCAGACGTTCCGACTCAACGGATTGCTGACCTTGACAATGCCACGCGACAACTCCGCCAACTGAGCTGCATCTTGGACAGCTGCACCAGCTACGAAGTCAGTCAAGCACAGAAAGCGCTTTTGCTTCTGCCACGCACTGGAAAAGGATCTAGTACGTCTTCGGACGAACGATACGAAGATTTTGCAACCTTCCGAGTCTTCCCCACGAAGACTAGTGGTCATTCGAAAGCTGATGATAGGCAAAGCACACGTGAGCGGACTCTGAGTGGCCCCTGACCGCTTGCTCTTGATCTCACTACCTCTATTTCCTCTTTCCCATGTGCCATATGACTGTGTCATCACCGGCTTTGGGATCATATCTTACAATCTGTGAGAATGTTGCCCGTGCGGCTGCACTTTGTGATCTCGAGGCTCCTGGGGGGAGCCTTGGTTTCCGCATTGTGCTTTTGTTGATTCCTGGCTCACAGATTTCTGTATGGCATAGTTGTGGTCTTTCTGTTTTTGTTGTTTGTTTTACCTCTGCCATACCAATCCCTTGGTGATACAAAGCTATCCTCTTTCTTGTGCATTGCAAGGACTATGTACTGATCAGCTGACCACCAGCCGTGCTGTCTTGTTTTTTGTTGTTTTGTTTGTTGTTTGTTCTTGTGCGCTTTGTTTTGTTTTTGTTTTCGCTGTCTGCTTTCCTGTTTTTGCACGGTGACAGCACAATGGATTATGTATCGATCCAATCAGTTCTCTTTTGATTGCACACGGTCGACAGGACTGAAGTTGCTACAGATCTAATTCGCTGAATTTGCAAAATGCAATTGTATTTCCGGTTTGTTAAACGACCTGGCGAGAGCCATCTGGCGTTGGACGGAAAAAAAATACTAACTTTCTGGAGCACCATAGAATGCAATTCCTTCCCGAACCGAACTCAAACTCGAACTGGAACCCTCCCCTGTCCTCCCGAACCGAACTCGAACTGATCCCCCTTGCACCACCTCCCAAGCTCGAACTCGAACTGACCCCCCCTCCCGCACCATGTCCCGACCCCGAACTGCAGCTCGAACTCGAACCGAACAGTTACAGTAACTCAACCCCCCCCGTGGCACACTCTGGAGGGGTTCGTCGCTTTGCACATGTGCGGGATAGTTCTGTTTGGGCAGTTCCAAATTCATGTACATTTTGGAAACACATTTTTGGTCCAATCTAAAATTGTGAAACTACACTTGGGTACACTTTTAAATTCTCACATGTGCGTGTGCAAAAATATGTCGCAATGTTCGTCATTAATTTGTGAAAACCGATTTTACATCGTCGAAACACATGGACATTTTAGCAAAATCCATCGAATTCTGCGGGCCATTTAATTCCATCTTTCCTTGGTTGTTTTCATTACCTGCCACTTTGTTTCCTGCTTCCATACATAAGATACATAGGTCCCCCATTGTCGGTGGACTGGAACGCACCGAATTACAGTGTGTTTATTCTGAGGCTTGTGATGTTTGTGGTTCGTGCTGTGTTGATGGTTCATTGTTTTTGAATTTCCCACATGTTGACTTCTTGCTGACCTTCATGTTTGCATTTGTCATGTGTCGTTAATGACTAGTTTAGACTTGGTCTGTTGTGTTTTGTTTTTGATTTTGCATTAGTCGCTTCGTGAACTTAACTTGCATGATAATGTTTTGGTTCTTGAATATGATTTGTTATTTGTTATTTTCCTTTGGTAACCGGCTTTGAATTGGCATAGTGTCATTCACAGAGGACACGTACAACTCTATATATAAACGCCATTCCGAAATGCAAACAGGAAAAAACATACCATTTGATGTTGATTTCTGAATCAATTTGTTTTTTTAAACTTGGATGTTGCTGTAAATTTGCATGTGTTTGCTGCCGCTGTGCCATGGTAAATTTGTTCATTAAAATGCCATGGATTGTAGATCTTCATCAATTTTTTGATGGATTTGTATGGCAACAATTAATAGTAACAACTGATGTCTCGTTTTACCGCATCAATTTCGCCTGGTTCTGTGATCGGTCCGCAGATTGTGGGGGTTCCGGAGGGCAAAAAAAGTGATAGTGGGGAAGGCGCAACCTTCTTGATTGTGTTCATTACAATGTATTACAACATGTCATTTTGTTGCACATCCACAAAAATTGTTCTGTTTTGCTAGGCATGTGCGCCCAAGAGCCTGTGGGAGAGGTACAAGTCTTTGTCTGTACAGCGATTTGCCTTGGGTTTTCTACCGTAGAGCAGGCAAATTACAGCAACTTCACAGCGACTTCGTGAGAAATGGTAAGGTTTGCACACGGAATCCACCCCATTTTTTTAGAATGAATTGTGAAAGTAGAAATCCAAAATGTATGTCTAGTTTTCAATGCAACAGATTACGGTAGTAACTTACAGATGTACCAACAGACACACCTTTCCTGAGCGGTTGCCAGGCAGCCCAGGCAGATGCCGCTGAGGCAGCCACATGCTCTGTTCTCAGTGGTCTCTACATCAACGCCAAACAGTTCCATGTGAGCGTCTCCAAACAAATCTTGGCAACCTTGAAATCTAAAGTTTTTGACTGCTTGATTGAGGTTTGACTCAATTGTTGGTTGACTGCCTCTGTTTACCTTGGGGTGTTGTTCAGGTTCCAGTATTCTCCAAGCAGTCAAGGAAGGCAAATTGGGTGCTGTACGGCACTTTCTTTGCACACGCGGTTGCAGACAAATAGACCAGTTCGGCCGCAGCCTTGGAAACGATCCTTCTTCGGAGCGACAAAGTATGTACATCCTTTGCTGCGCATGGCTGAGGTGCAACACCACTGCATTGGGCAGCGAACAATGGCCATTCCAATGTGACCGAACTCCTGGTCGCTGCGGGCACGGCTGTTGATGTTACTGATGGGAATGGCTTCAGCCTTGGTGCAGCCTTTTCAGCACTGGGATCACAGGGATCCGCTTTGCAGTGTTGAGGCTTGTTGAGACTTCTTGAGACTTGTTGAGTCATAAGGCGCTACTCCGTTGCACAAGGCCGTGGCCAAAGGTCACGGCAATGTTGCAGAGCTGCTGTTGGTGCAGGGTGCTGAGGTGAACAGAGCTGATAGGAAGGGTGGGGGCCTTGGAAGCTGTTAGGACAGAGCTAAACGGCAGGATTTGAGAGTGAGTCAAATAGCCAAAGCAGTCTGATCTGGCAAAACAATCATCGTGTGATTTTTCTACGAAGAAAAACCATGGCGGATCCCTGTATTTTTTCAAAATTAATTGTCAATCCTCGAGTTTTTGAGTGTTTTTGAGCGTTTGAGGTTGCACACCACTGCATTGTGCAGCTCACAATGGGCATTGCCCCGTGGCAGATCTCCTGTTGGCCAGGGGTGCCACAGTGCATGTACAGGATCAGCGCGGCCGGGGCCCAAATGGCTCCAGATTTCATGACATTTGACATAACAAAGGGATTTGTGGGTAGCCCACCAGAAACCTTTAGTTACTTTAGTTTATTACTAACTGTAACCTATCTTAACCTTCACACTAATGGGATATGACTCCTGATATTAGTCATCATTCCAGCCACACAAATGGGACAGTTAGTAACGAAAATTGCCAACGTTTCTGGTTTTGCGGGCATGAAGTTTTGACCATACACAAATAATGTCCGTTTCTGATTGAATCGTTGTCTGTCGCTGAGGTGCTACACCACTCCACAAGGCTGTGGCTAGAGGCCATACTAACATGACCGAGCTTCTTCTAGCACAAGGGGCTGCAGTGGATACAGCGGATGAGAAGGGCCAGGACCCAAAAGGATGGTGCTGCTAGGGCGCTGAACAGGTCTGTGAATTGCGTTAGATATATATAAATATAAAGTCAATGAAAAAAAAATCACGGAGGATGAAGCTGCCGAGGTGCAACTCCACTCCACAAGGCAGTGGCCAAAGGTCACGGCAGCGTGGCATTGCTGCTAATTGCGCAGGGTGCCGCGGTGGATGTCAGGGATAAAAAGGGTCAGAGCCCAAGGGTCCTTCTGGTCATTGTCAGTGCTTGATTTGCTTCCTCTATCGGACTCTATCGCACGAAGGTCGAACACCTCTCCACTGGGCGGCCTACAATGGATACAGCAGTGTGGCAGAGCTTCTTCTGGCAGAGTGCGCAGCTGTGGGCATCACCACTTTTGGTGGCTGCAGCCTCACCAGGGCAGATAATAACAGATAAATTGTACGACATACATTGTTGCCACTCAAAGGTTTTCTGTCAGAAGTATCAATCCTGATCGGTGTCAGCAGCTCTTAGAGCTGGGCATAGCATTGGCCAAGGCCGAACACCTTTGCACAAAGCAGCCTACCGTGGTCATAGCACCGTGGCGGAAGTCTTGCTAGCGAAGGGTGCGGCCGCTGATGCTACAGATGGAATTGGCCACGGCCTTGGGAATTTTAGACTTGACGACCGATGAATCAGATGCTCTTGCTGTCCAGCTTTGCTCCCCACAGGATAGGGTCGGATGGGGGAGTGCCGAACCAGTTGTGAGTTTGGCGAGGTCTCACACCCCAGCGCATGGCAGAGGACAATGGTCACTACTCATTTGTGCAGCTAGTGACGCCTCGAGGCCTGGAGTGATTAAAAAGCAGTGAATTCTAGGAGTCTCCGAGAGTCTCCCAATCTCCAAGCGGTTTCCCAACAAAAACATACAAATAGACCGCATCGATGTGGCCAACCTGGAATTTTGCTTTCGAGCCATCATATCCGCAATGTATGACTGTGACCACTCCTTATAGACCCAAGGGTTTCGCCAATGCTCCCTTTGGAAGGGTCCACAGCAAACAATGCGCTCTTGATATGCGTGGAGTGCAAAAGTGGAGGTTTCATATGACTCATATGACACTGCAATCATTGCATGCTCCCAGGCGTTGGCAAAGAATTCGAGAAGCAGAAGCAGCTTGTGTTCTGTGCCCCAGAGGATGCAACCAAATGTGAATGTGAAGCCCTGAGATTTGGAGATTGAATCTCAGATCCTCGACCAACATCCAATGCCATCCTGATGAAAACCACCATGCATGTGGCATCATGTGGCATGGCTTCAGGTTCCAACATTCTTCAAGCGGCACTGGAGGACAAGCTGGGTGCAGTGAGACACTTTCTGGAGATCGATCCTACCAGTGTGAAAAAAGCAGACAAAAAAGGCAGCAAGCTTAGAGTGGTGAAGGGCAGTGCTGCTCCAGTGACCCCAGTGTTTGAGCTGCTTATCAAGGTGCATAGGAGGCATCCTTGCTTCGAGCACTGAAGGGATTGGTATCGCCCAAAAATCGCGGTGGTAAGATGGGATGAGCAGCTCTCCCTGGCCGTGTTCTGCTGCTCTTATGAGGTCGAACTGCCTTGCATTGTGCTGCCCACAGCAATAGCAGTTCTATTGCTCAGCTTTTGCTGAGTAAGGGTGCTGATGTTGATGCTACAGACGGAGAGGGCTGCGCCCTCAGAAGACCTCATCGACCTGCCACAAATGGCTCTGTGGCCAAGTGCTTTTTGTGGATCTGGATGCAAGAAAGACATAGAACTTGCCAGTCATGAACTGCAAGGTGGCATAAGGTGGCCAGGTCATTTTTGAGCACCCCCCCAAGCCGGGAGGCCGTATGCCCCTGCACTGGGCAGCCTTGCTGGGTCAATGCTCCGTGGCAGAGCTTTTGCTGAAGATGAGTGCCACTGTCGATGCGAAAGATCGCGAGGGCCGTGGCCTCGGCAACAAATCCCACGGTTTCATAGTTTCAAAATGTTTCATGATCATCATTTTTCCACATTTTTCCACATTTTTCATTCATTTTTCCACATTTTTCCTATGCCTGGTTTTGTCTTTTGAAAATACAGGCCGAACGGCGCTGCATTGCGCCGCGCACAACGGGAAGACCTCAGTGGCACAGCTCCTTTTGGCCAATGGTGCCAAAGTGGATGAAACAGATGGAGAAGGCCTCCTGAGCAGATCCCAAAAAATGGTCTTCATCGCAACGGAAGATCAATGCATAGACAAAATCAGACTCAAATGGGAGAGGAAAGAACTAGGTGTTTGATTTCATCATTTCATCAGTGGTTTGCCATGGTTTAAAATGACATTCCCCTCGATTTTGGTGTCCCATTTATTGGGAAGCCAGGTCGAACGCCACTGCATGTGACGGCCATGGTTGGCCGCTGTTCCACGGCAGAACTTCTTTTGGAGCATGGTGCCACCGTAGATGCTATGGATGACGGCAAGGGCCTCAGTGTGTGGGTCTTCTTGTGCTCATTGTGATCATAATCATGGTTGTAATTATATATGAGTGTAGTAGTGATTATTGATATACATATATAATCACATACAATATATATATATATATAAACTATAATGCTTATTACTATCATTATTCTTGTTCGCAATTTTTATTTTCAGGCTCTGCAGTCAGAACAGCAGGGTGCATGGATATTGAATGATGTAATGTTAACGATTTAGTGAAGAATTACTCAAGTCTGGAAAGGAGCTTGAGTGATTTGAATGATTCAGGTGGATGAAAGGGATTCAACTGTAGTTTCGACCTCCCCCTAATCTTTCCCCATTTTTTGTTTTAACTGCTTCCTTCACGCCCACGCACCTCTCGGGTAGCCGAGCGACGAGCGACACATCAAATATTGGAATCAAGGAAGATACCAAGTAAACATAGAGGGGGAAATCTTATGGGAAGAGCCGTCAAGATCGTGGGTGAGAACCCCAAACCAACAGGCACCTTCAGACCGGAGGCAGAAGGAACCGAAGAATTCCACAACTTTACCCAAACCAAGGGGTTGGAAATGAGTACAGTTGGGCGCAGTAATGACCTTGCAACCGCCACACTTGAGAACCTGCGCTGAGGGGGAACGAAAGGCACACACTGCACGGTGCAGTGTTGGATATTGACTGGCTAAACCCGATCGGGGGAACATAGAACAAAAATCGTAATAGACCAATGTCCAAGGAACACAAGGCCCGGCGGGACTTCTGGAGAACATGATCTGACATTCGATGTTCATATTCCTTTCTAATCATTCCATCCCATTTACCCCAAAAGTTTTCCGAAGGGCACCTGGCGAGCCGTTTCGAGGCAACGGCACCCCATTGCACGCAGCTGCTCTCAACGGTCGCCATGGGGTGGCCGAGTTGCTGTTGGCGAAGGGTGCTGGGGTCGACATGGCAGACTGCAACGGTGACGGTCTCAGACTAGGAGGATGGGCTTCTCAATGGTATGAATGAGGTGAACCCAATCATAAACCATCGCCAACAGTGGTTTATTGTTGGGTGTTGGGGAGGTGTTGCACCATGAGCAGCCCAGCACACGAGAAACAAGATCACAAAAAATGCATGCCTGGGCTAAATGGCCTTTCGAAAACTCTCGAATCAACCATTTTTGACGAGATTGATGAGTGGATATGATTAGATTCCAGCGTAGATTCCTTTCTAAATCTCCCTGAAATCCATCGACTGTACGTCCTGTTGGGTTGCGATGCCAAGGTCGCAGGCCATTGCACTGGGCCGCCTGCTTGAGCCACTGCTCTGTGGCCGAGCTACTCCTGTCGAAAGGCGCCATGCTGGATGCCGTGGATGCGCAAGGTCTTGGCCCTGGAATTTCATGGTTTGTTCGCAAATATTTAATTCCCCAACAGCGTAAGCTAATGGGGTCTTCAGCCCAGAATAGCTTCGGTGTGCACTGGTGCAGGCGCCGGGTGAGGTTCAACCAGGTTCCGGAGAAGGTTCCGAAGGTTCCAGAGAAGGTCTGGGAGGCTTTGGTGCAGAGCCAGGTCCGGTTCAACAGTTCCGAAGAAGGTTCCGGAGAAGGCCTGGGAGGCTTTGGTGCAGAGCCGGGTCAGGTTCAACAGGGTTCCGAAGAAGGTTCCGGAGAAGGTCTGGGAGGCTTTGGTGCCAGGTCCGGTTCAACAGGGTTCCGAAGAAGGTTCCGGAGAAGGTCTAGGAGGCTTTGGTGCAGAGCCAGGTCAGGTTCAACAGGGCTCCGAAGAAGGTTCCGGAGAAAGGTTCAACAGGGTTCCGGAGAAGGTTCCGGAAAAGGTTCCAGGAAGCCTTGGTGCAAAGTCAAGTCAGGTTCAACGGGTTCCGGAGAAGGTTCCGGAGAAGGTCTAGGAGGCTTTGGTGCAGAGCCAGGTCACGTTCAACAGGGTTCCGGAGAAGGCTTTGGAGAAGGTCTAGGAGGCTTTGGTGCAGAGCCAGGTCACGTTCAACAGGGTTCCGGAGAAGGCTCTGGGAGGCTTTGGTGCGGAGCCAGGTCAGGTTCAACAGGGTTCCGGAGAAGGTTTCGGAGAAGGTTCTTGGTGCAAAGCCAAGTCAGGTTCAACAGGTTCCGGAGAAGGTTGCAGAGAAGGTCCCGGTGCAGGGCCAGGTCAGGTTCCAACATGTTCAACAGGGTTTCCAGCGCTTGGCTTCTCAGCATGCTTCAGAAAGATTTGTAAAAATAAACGTTGCGGCTGTCTGTTGGGGATACCACCGAAGCTTATTTTTCTGTTCTTTCTCAATGTTGGGCCAAAAATCTGGAGATCAATTCCCTTCGAGGCATCCCCTCCAAAAAGTGTATCCGGCAACTTTTTTGGGACACCGCTCTGCGGCCGAAAGTCTTGGGCCCGAGGCCGAACCGCCGCAGATTGGGCGGATGATTTCATGGCCAAACTGCTCAGGACAGCTGCTCTCACCAGCTGAGGACAGCACCGAGGGCACCAGGGTTTTGATCCATGAGCCGTAGGAATATACCTTGTTGATCCTTGTTGATTGATCAAATTATCGGGCGCTGTACAAGCTGGCTTAGTGGGAATCATTATATATGAATATACATGATGAATTATAACCCACAATAGGAATAGACAGAATACGTATGAACCAACCACTGTAGTGGGATTGGGTAGGTGTACTGTCTCATGGCTGTAGTGGATTTATCACGAGTGATGGATGAATAGATGTGGGTCATTTACAACAACGATAGATGAAACCTCAATGGTTCAGGATTCCGACAACGTAGTTTGTTCAGCAGCTTTGAATCATTCGTTGCGGTACAAATTGCTTAACCATTTTTCAGGGGATCGGCTCCTTCGAGGTGAGAGCCTTTCCACTGCCCGGGACAATAGGTGCTCCAGATGTGCAGCACATGGGTACAGTTTGAGGGTGTTTGTGTAACAGTTTGAGCCATTTTCAATCTAATTTTTTGTCTGCACGACACGCCAAATCTCCCAAGCAGCGTCAAGTCATTTCAGGTGCTGGGGCAGTTTTCTTATAGACGCGCTGATAGTTGAATTCAAATGTCTGGCCCTGGGAGCCTGAGGATTGAGAGTAGAGTCACAGTCGCATCACATTTGGCTTATTGAACAACTGGGGTAAGATACACATTTTGGATCGACCACTCAGTTGGCCGCCCTGAGCTGAGATGCCTGTCAGAGCCTGAGAACACTGGAGGTCGAAAGGGGCTCAACCTCAATCAGCTGAGCTGCCAAGTTTCTGAGGCAACCCCTGATGACTTCTTACTTGCCGAAGTGTGCCGTTCCCCTGAGCCCAGTTGCTACCAAGATGTAGACCTGATGTACCCTTAAGCCCAGCTACTTTCGAGCTTGGAACTTGAGGGACTTTATTGGATTGTATTCATACGCATAGTGATTGGACTTCGTTCCAAATGCAGCTAGGATTGCATGCTGTACTTTCGTGGGGCCCGCTCTGGGGGTGTGGTTGAGTGATTGCAACCACAAAGTGTATAAAAAATGTGTCTCATGGCAGATCTGTTGGCCGGGCTGCCTGGGTTCTGATTTCTGAGCACGTGGATATGTCGCGTCGCTCTCATTTTCCGTGTTCCAGGGCAACCTGCCAAGGGCATCGGCCGTATAGCTGACCCGTTCCGCACAGGACTTGATACAAATTCAGACAAGTTGCTTTGCAAAGCCTGAGAATACTTGATCTTTAGTAGAGTCCGGCTGCAAAAAAGGTCGGGCCTCGGGACATGCGGTGCAGGGCAGAGGTTCTAGCACAGCCTAGCTTCAAGAATGCTTCAGTGAGGTAGCAATGTTGTGTGTCCAATGCGTTTTATGCCTTTAGAGTGAAACATCTACCAACCATCAGTTTCACAAATCACAACATACTGAAAAATGAGACATTTGCAGTGATGGAGGCAACCGGCATCACAGCGAAGCGTTTGTTGACGATTGCCACTTTCAGAGCACATCCATGCAAACATACGGAGCTTTCCATGGTGGACGGGTGCGCACACAGCACTCTCACACACACAAACTGACTGCACTCAATCAATGGGAGTCGGCTTTCTTTCTTTTAGTGGTTGGTCTCAAACGAACATGTCAAAAGATCAGTGTGCTCCCATGCACAGGAATGGCTACTGTATAGCAAATTTGTGGGCAGACTTGTTTTTAGGGAAAAGCTCTGAAAGCCACACCTTTTCCGTTCCCTGATAATCTCATGAGACTTGCCGATCCTCTTCTTGCATGGCCATCTTAGGAATCTTGGCCATTTGGGCTTTCAAAGCTATGCGGGGCTATGCACATTCACCGTCTTCGCCATGGGGGACAACATCTCGTGTTCCACTCATTGCGCAGCAAATTGTATATCTCGGCAGGCGTCCTGGGAGTTTCTTTGGTGCCAGTTGAGAATAATTGTTTGGATGATCTTGAATTGTATTCATGGTATGTTGCTGAACACCTGATCTTTTTTCGCTATTTGTAGGGGTGGTCATTCCCCCTATTAATGGGAGGGTAATACTCTACCATGATATCCATCGATAGGGGGTAACCCTATATATATATAAACTATACATTATACATTTATATATACATTATATATATATACACACTATATATATATATGTATATGTATATATGTATATATGTCGTGCATGTTCACTCTCACATGGTGCAGTGAAATTGGCTCATATGCTCGCAGTCACTAACGGCGTAGGTGCTGTTGGTGGACTTGCTTTGGCCTCTAGGATCATCAATTGGTTGGACAAGCCAACGCCGCTTTCTTTCCTTCCGAGCCATTGGCGCTTCGACGGGGGCTCATTTGCACTGGGCCTGGTAACCGGACTGCTGCTCTTCCTCATCATTGAGGTCTGGTTCACTGTAAAGTGGGCGGTTCTGTCCTGGCTTGAAAAGCCCCACCATTCACGGCCGCAGTTTGTGAACCGCCCGCCGTCGAAGCCCCTGTATAAAATCTGTTGATGCACCCTCCTCGGTCTGTTGAAGGAGAACTTCAAGACCTGCGGGAGGAGGTAGAGGATCTCAGGGCTGAAGTGCGGAGGTTGAGGCGTGGTCTTTCTGAACTTCGGCAACTCGTTGAGGGTCGGTCTGACAGCAGAGAAAGCGATTCGAGGCCAGTTAGTGGTCATCCTGGGAAAGTGCGAGGATCTACGTATTCCGGATACAGTGGCTCTTCAACTTCTCCTGATCGAGAAGGCGGAGCTTTGGTGGTGGGGGCAACCTCGGCGCAGCAATCATTGCCTGTGGCAAGCGTTTCTCCTACGACTGCACCGAGCCCTACGAGCTTGACTTGGTTGCAGAGGGAGCAGATTTGCGACGAGATTGGGCGCTTTTTAGCCCGTGCTATTGGTGGCTCCTTTCGCGGCCCATCAGGACGAGACAAGATCAACCTTCCTTCTCGCATTTGGATCATCGCAAGGGACTACGCTGGGCAGATCTACACCCCGGTGAAGGTTGTACGCACGTGGTCATCGTGCAAAGTGCTCATTAAGCCGAACAATCACGAGTGTGGTGATTCGGTTTTTGTGGGCCTCCCCAGTGAGCGAGAGGCAAGACGGGTTGTGGCTGCTGCTGAGCTTGATTGGCCAGCGGTGGTTGAACAATGATACTGTTCAAGCAACCACCTTCAGTGGTGGAGCAACAGCCCTACATTTTTGAAGAGGGCCACGTTTTTGCCGACTACCCTGTAGGCCAGTTTGTGGTTGACAGTGAGAGCGGCCAATCTTCTTTGCAGGTAATTCAGATTTGCGAGCTTGAGGGAAAACTTTTGGTTGCGGTTCCGCACTCAACCTGGAACCACATTGTTGCACAGAGGGTGCTTCCCTACAACTGTCTTTCAAAACCCACTGAAGGTGTGGGTGGGCTTCTTGAAAGACACCTACCGCGAGAACATTGAGATTCTGGAGGAGTTTGACGTTAGTTACTGGTTCGATGCAGACCACCATCGACAAGCTCTGCCCTATGCTCAGGGTTTAGTGGAGATGGCGCAGGAGCACTTTGCTTTCTTTTCTGCCGAAGGCACTGAGACCCCGGGCGAGGCTCTGGTTGATGGAGAGCCGAACGACGAAGGAGATGCTGGTTTGGACGGCCTTCCCATGACCGACACGGAAGATCGGCTTGCGAGAATTGAGAAGGCGATCTACAACATGGGCAAGCAAGTCGAGACCCTCTTGATGCCAAGGTCTGGGGCACCAAAGTGGAAGGCAGCTGCAAAGTCTGCGGCGAAAGCAAAGAGGGCCGCTCGTCCAATTGCTGGATCATCTTCGACAGAGATTGACGACATGAAGGAGCAATTCCCACTGCTTGATCCAGGAGTTGCTGCGGCGGCTCTTCAAGCTGGAATCCCTGCAGCAAATCTACAGGAGATGCAGAAGCTTCTTAGCTCTGCTCGACCTAGAGTTGCCAAGACTGCCGACCTGAATCCCAACATACAGCCGCGGAGGGACCCGCTTTCTGAGGGAGAAGAAGAAGATGTTCCTGAGGGCGATGCCGGCAGCGGCGGTGTTGGTTTGGTTGGGGAAAAGGTGAACGCTTCCGCCCTGGACAAGCTTGCTTCTATAGTCGAGATCCTGGCGGAGGACCGGTTGAAGAAGGCAAAGCAGTCAAAGTTGGAGGTTGCCCTCGACGGTGGATCTGCTCATGCTACAGAGCACCCCCTTCAGGGGACTGGGAAGAAGGCTGCGGCAGCGAGGAGGGCACTGAGGAGCGCGTATCAGGATGCCCCCGATGAGGTCTACAGCATGATCTCAAAGCTTATGTACGAGGACATCAACAACACCACCTTGGCCCCTGGACTTCAAGCTCGGAGCATGAGCGCTCGATCTTGGGTGGAGCACAGAAGCAGGATCACCAGCCACGAGACTGGCGCATTTGCCAGTTGGGGGGTTGCAGGCATCTTGGATTCCTTGAACGATGGAGACCTGAAGAAGGGTCGTGCGAGAGCTGCGGTGCTTCTCATGTGCCTGGACCAGGCGAGCATTGATGCGGGAAGCTGGACGTTGGCTTCGGAAATCTTTCTCGAGCCACCGCCCCCTTTTGGCTCGCTGAATATGCACAAGGCCCCACAGATCTCAGATGGCGAGTTACCTTTTTCACGGTTGCTGGACCAGAGGTGGGCGGAGGTAGCATTGGCACAGTTGAAGGAGACAGACGAGTACCTGGTGAAGCGCAAGACAGTGGGAAAGTTTCAGAAGCCTCTCAAGGACAACACGGGTGACGAGGGTGCGGAGCCGGATCCAAAGAGACGGCCCAGGCCAAAGGCGAAGCAGAAGAGTCAAGCCGCGCCTGCGGCAAATGAGGGGTAACATAACCCCTTTTGCATGCAAGTGTCCCGCCTCCTCAGGGCGAAGTTCCTGGCAGCCGGGCCACTGCAATTAGGGTTGATTCCCTGTTGAATGCCTTCCCGCGTTGGCTGTTGCGAAGTTTCTGCAGCCCTCGGCGGTTTTTTGCACT